GAGACAAGCAGTAGAACAACAAAGGAATAGAGACTTCAACGTTATTGAGTTTGTTTGAAACATCTCTTGATGTTTTCTCTGGAACTGATAATCCTATTAAAATATGCTGATGCAAAGTAATCGAGTCTTTGCCACAAACTCTGATTTTCTATGCCCTATAACTTTGCAACTTGATGGTGTAAACCTTTGATATTTCAAATTTAGATTATTTGATCCATCAGAATTTATAATTTGAAATATCTAAGGGTTACAACATTGGATTGCCAAAAATAGGGATCAGAAAATCCGAGTTTGTGGCAAAGAATCAATTCTGTTGTTATAGCTTGGACCAGATTCTCTTTTAAAAATAGCAAATTAGAAAAGCTATTCATGAGCTATTCATGTAACATGTTTAAGTTTAAGGGGTTTGCTATTATGATAATACTATAATTTTGTATAACTATACATATTGCGCTAAATCCTAAAAATCAGGCCTGCATACTATTAGACTTGAGCTAGTTTTTTTTACTAACTTAGATGGTCAATTTGCTATAAGTTTAACAAGAACATAGAGAATATAATATTCAATCCATTTATTTTAAGGATTATTTCTAATTTTCAATTTCTTTAAATTAAAGACTAAAGTGGAATTCATTAAAAATGACAATGTTGAGTTTTTTTTTTCAAGTTAAGATTAATTAGAAAAATGTAAATGTAAATGTCATTTTTTCTCATTATCTTACCGAGAATTATAACAAAGAACTTAAATTTAAGCCTGATGAGTCAAATATCGAAATCTCATCCTAATAAATTATCAATTACGCAGTAAGGGTTCCAAAAATTCGGGGGTTTTTGGATTGTGAAATTTTTTTTTGGTCCACTTAAAAGATAGATAATAACTTTAAACTTTTATTACAGATTTTGTTAAAACCCTAAAAAAAGCCCAAATACCAAAAAACATGTATTCACATAGTACCTTTACTCTAAAAAAGTGACTTATAACTAATTTAATTGGAGAGCAATTTTTTTTGGAATTTCCCATTATTTATGACTGGTATAAACACTATTTTTTCTTTTGTTTCCATAGTAGCAGCCAACAAAATTTGATATTATACTCTACTCTATATTCGATTCAACTGCATACATAATTCCATGCGCGTTAGGTCGCCATTATTGTGGGTAACCTTGTATAATTCCAAAGGAATTAAGTGTTTGCTACAAACTAAAATTTTCAAATCCCTAAATTTATACAACCTGATGGTGTAAACCTATGATCTTTCTAAACTATAATATGTGATCCAAAAAAATTATGGTTTAAAATATCGAGGTTAGAAAATAAGTTTTGTAGGTTAAGACTCTATTCTTCAAACGTTAATTCCTGAGTATTCGGAAGTTAATTCCTGAGTATTCGGAAGTTAATTCCAGAGTATTCGGAAGTTAGTTCCGGAGTATTCGGAAGTTAATTTTGGAGTATTCGGAAGTTAATTTCAGAGTATTCGGAAGTTAATTCCGGAGAATTCGGACGTTAATTCCGAAGTATTCGGAATTTAATTCCGGGATATTCGGAAAAATCTTATTTCCTAATTTGACGGATGTAAAACGGACAAAGGTCTATGGGAAAAAGGATGAGAAACTGGCTCGGGACGCAGGGATCTCCTTCTCGATCAATCAGATCGTTGGACTGCCGATGGACGAGTTTAACGATCTTTTGAGCAGACACGATCTCACCGAGGAGCAACTTAATCTCTGCAGGGATATAAGGTACTGCACACTGTACACTGTACACTGTACAGTGAGATCGTACGTCCATGAGCTATGTACAATCCAGTGTAATATGGAACACCCTGTTCTATAGAATTCACATTAGAATTTTTGGGACATAAGAATTGTAAAGTCAATAATATAAATTGTATAAGTGCAATATAAACATTTTTATGCAAAGCAAAATATATAGCGTTAAAGCTTATGTTGCAGATAATCCATTAGGATATGAGAAACTCTACACTCTACTGTAATCTGTACTGTAATGTAAGCTTTCCTGTACTGACTGTACTGACTTTTTTTCTGTAATGTACTGTACTGTATACTGTACTTTAATATAGTGTAATCTGTACTGTTCTCTATGCTGTCACGTACTGGAAGCTGTACTGTACTTACTGTAAAGTACTTGTCTGTAATGTACTGTACTGTATGTATTGTACAGGAGAAGAGGGAAGAATAAAGTTGCGGCACAAAACTGTAGAAGAAGAAAACTAGATCAGGTTGAGGAGCTTGAGAAGAGACTTAAAACAGCAAGGTTATATTGCTTCCATTTCCATTTCAATTATTTATTGTTAGGTTTCCAATATTTAAAGCTTTCAGTTTTTAAATCAATTTCTTAGCCTATTATTTTTTTGCATAGAACTTTCTAAACTTATTTTTTTCTATTTTCTTGCTTTGGAGCATTTCAAGATTTTACACCATTGATTTTAAAAATGTGAATCGATTATGGATTCCTAAAATTGACGTTTCCTTATATTTCAGGGAAAAACGAGCTGTCGTTATTTCAAAACATCAAAGGTAAAAAGTCATTATTTTATACATTGAACGAGATAAAAAAATATTCTTCTAAATTTATCTGATTTTGCCAAATAAACGATATATATACACTACCCAGACATTTTGATTTTCTAATCTCTTAACTTTTGAGACCGCGGTTCCATATTCAAAAATTAAAATTATTTTGATTACTCTAAATAGCTCTATATTAAGAAAGGTTTTGATGAAAAAAAATGTAAGATTTTAATCTTGCGTGTAATTTACTTAAGTTTAATATAGTAGATCTATATAATAAAACAAGACATATGTATATATAAATATATGTTGCCTATAGCCGGCCAAACGGCTGGACCGATTTGGCTGAATTTTTTTGTGGACATTTAGGGGGCGACCGTGGGGTGTTATAAGCTAAAAAAATCAAAATTTAATTTTTTTTTTCACGGGCAACGCTAGGCCCTTAAGCTTGTCTTTTATATTTCAAGTTCTTGAAGACAAAATAGTTAGGAATATATCTAAGGTTTGAATCATCATAGAGATTAGAAAATTTGAGTTTATGACAATGTGGAATTTTTTGGTTTAACTCTTCTGTGATATCGGCCGTGAGAGATTAATTCTTGATTCTCCAATTTAAAAGTGTGCACATTGGATGTCCAGATCAGATCAAACATTCAAGATTAATAATTTCCTCACAAAATTTTCGATCTGATTAACTGACGTTCATTTTATATATATATTTTACCTTAAAGGGAGTGACCGGCTATGTAAGGTATTTTAACTCAGTATGCAGTGTTGTGAACAAATTCTTTAGGATTCATTGGAGACATATAAAACTTTTTAAAGATCTGTAAATCCTAAGTTTGAGCCCAAAGTCGACGTTCAAAATCCTACTTTTGGGTGGATACGTTTTCAGAATTTTTTTACTTCTCCTTATTCATAAAGATTTTTTGCAGGTTTTCTGGAATTTTTATTGCCAAGACGCCATTTAAAGAATTTTGTAGAAATCTGTCAATAAGTTGAAAGAAAATAAGAAATTAAATATAATGATGACAACGAAATCATTGATTCTAGCATTGATTTATTGAAAAATCTTTTGAGAAATATGTTTCTAACCATCTAGTTAGTTTACTGTATAATATTTACTTTATTTTTTTGTCGTTGTTATTTAATGATTTGAAAAAACCGACTTTGAAAACGTTCCACCCAAGTTCATTATTTCGAACGTGGACTTTGCGCTCAAACGTCGTGCAAACGTTTTATATGTCTTAACTGAATCCTAAAGAATTTGTCCAAAACTCTGCATACTCTTTTTAACTACCTTACATAGCCGGTCTGTCCCTTTAAATTTGATCTCACTGAAGGGGCACGCGCCCGAATGCCTTCCCCCGGAGACGTCCCTGTTATTTAATCTATTTTTATTTAAACTTAGAATGCTCCAAGAGTATGGAAACCTTGCCTGTCAAGTTGATGAGAAACTAAACGAAGCTTTAATAAAAAATAATTGCGATCCACACGAATACACAATACAGGTTTGTAATCAATTTTATTTAATTTATTTTTTAAAGAGAATTAATTTTCTTTGACATCAGAAGCAAGAAAACTGTGAAATGATTGTTAACTGGGTTTGTCTTTCAGAAATGTAGCTTTGATTTAACAAGACACTATAAATACTCTAACTCTAACGTTTTTAACCCAATGTCTTTGCAACCTTATGTCGTATCGTCTCCAAAAAATTTAGATTTTTGTAAAAAAGCAGAATTTTAAATCCGCCAAATTTTTTATTATTGTTTTATCGAGGAGAAAATGCTAAAAGATTGAGCACCAGTTAAAAGTTAAAATAGAAGATGGCCGCAAAGCACGCCCTGATAGTATAGTTTCTATATTTTCATTATATCTGATTCTGGTCAACTTTTAGAAAACGTTTCATTGAAAATTACAAAACCCTTGACGACATTTTATTACAAAAGAAAAACAACAACTAGATTTCCACTAATAATTGGCTCTCACTGTATTCCAGAATATTCACGGAGAGCTGAAAATAACTCGGAAACAGAATCCTCACCTAGAACCAGAAGGGTCTATTAGGTAAATGAAAGGGAAGGTTAATGGAACATTTAAATTGGAAAAAAATTCCTGGAAAATAGTTGGTACTTTTTTTAGAAAATGCACCAATTCAAAAAAATAAATCCGTCAAAATTGAAAATCATTAGAAATGGCCGACTTTCATAGTATAACAGTTAAAAGCTAAAGTTATTTACAGGAAAGGAGGTGCGGAGCGCCCTAAAAGTCTAGAAACAAATAAGTGGCTTATTTTTTAATTTTTTTTTGGGGGGGGGGGAAGGCATTTTTTTATACTCAAATAGCTCATTTAAAAATACAAAAATAATGTTGCGTAAAAAAATAAAACATTTTTTTTTCAGACCCAAACCAATTGAACAGTTCTATCTTAAAAACAATACTTACAACAGCTACCAAACTCCAGTGGTGTACTACCATTGATCTATGATCATTGGCCTAAAGAGACAGTAGATATGATTTCAAGGTACCCCCTCCCATTTAATCTTATCCCTGCTGGGGTATTTAAAAACCAGGATGCGCTAGGGGGGGTCAATTCGACCCTTCCCCCCTCTAAATCGCATGTTTGATGTCCAAATGATGCATCATTGGAAAGCTCTTATATACTCTACTTTTCTTATCGGCAAAAAAAATGATTTTTTTTTGTAAAATCCAGTTAAATAGGAATAATGTTTGCAAAAAATGTCCAAAAAATGATAAAATATTTTGAAAAGCCCTTGACCATGCCATTTCAAATATGCAGGCACTTTAGCAAAATTTTAAATAAACTGATGTGCAATTAAGTAAACCCAAATTTCTTTTGATGAGTTGTAGGCACAACTTGTGCAATCCGTTTCCTTTTGTCAAAGGCTTTTCTAAAGGCTAAATATTATCAAAATCAAAAAGTTTGATACAGGAAAAAGTAGTCATTCAGGCAGTTAGTAAAACAGCCCTTTTTTAGACCTATAGGGAGCTGGCTATGGGTATTTAAATGCATCATTGGAAAGCTCTTATATACTCTACTTTTCTTATCTGCAAAAAAAATGATTTTTTTGTAAAATCCAGTTAAATAGGAAAAATGTTTGCAAAAAAAATGTCCAAAAATGATAAAATATTTTGAAAAGCCCTTGACCATGCCATTTCAAATATGCAGGCACTTTAGTAAACTTTTAAATAAACTGATGTGCAATTAAGTAAAACCAAACTTCTTTTGATGAGTTGAAGGCACAACTTGTGCAATCCGTTTCCTTATGTCAAAGGCTTTTCTAAAGGCTAAATATTATCAAAATCAAAAAGTTTGATACAGGAAAAAGTAGTCATTCAGGCAGTGTGCCTGAGGATTCAGGCAGTTAGTAAAACAGCCCTTTTTTAGACCTATAGGGAGCTGGCTATGGGTATTTAGGAAAAGTCAGAAACAGCCTCAGACCAATACTGTTTGAGTTATGTAAAAAAAAACTACAGGGGGGGGGCAAATTGACCCCCCCCTTCCCAGCAGGAATAGGATTTGCATCTCCGATTAGCAACAATAAACTTAAATGTTTTTTTTTAAATTCGTTGTCACTTGAGACTACATCTACAGTCATTTTTATTATTGATATATATTGATATTGTTATATCTATATTTGTGAAGATTAAATAAAATGTAAACCTGTAAATTTGATTTACATTTAAGTGCTTAAATATTATTACATTGTACAGTGTTTTATCAACTTATTTCTCATTAATGTTATATTCTTTATTCGAATTTACGAAATACATTTTTTTAAATATATGTCTATGATGAGTACATTACTTGTTGTATCAATTAATTAAGATTTGCTTGAAAAATAACAAACATTTTGGGCATTATAAGGAAAAATTAAAATGATTGTCTCCTTTTTTTATTCTTTTAATTGTGAACAGAGATAAGAGAGATAAGATCTATTTTTAAACGTTTCCTAAAAATTTTAATAAATTTAATAAAACGGTAAACTAGAGATCCCGGTTAAAAGTCTCCAGTGAGTCTTAACTTTAGAACCCGTTAAATGTAGATTTTTTGTATTTCATGTTTTATACTTTTTTGTCGGACTATGTATTTTATTCGTTTAAGTTTATGAAATCTCTTATGTTTTTTACGGATTCTAAATGTGGATCAAAATATGACCTATAAGAATACAGTTCAATGTAAGTAGTTTTTATGTGATCTGTACAGTCATGTCACGGGCAACTGCAATACTTTTTTAATTTCCGAGCCGGGTCAACCTTTCCGGTCCCAGTTTGTACTGTACCGCACGGACATTGGGTTAATAAAGCAGACAATCAACAGGACTAGCCGATGCAACAAGGTTGACGCGGTCAGACTTTATGCTTCATATATGTTGAATTTACATTTACTGAGGGGGCAGAGGTGCGTGATGTAACTCTTTTAGAGCCATAACAGCCGTTAATGTTACTGATGTGATAACCAGAAAACTCTGAAATTGTAAAACGACTTAACAATAATACCTACTTAAGTGTACAGGGTGTCCCAATAAACATGGGAATTCAGTGACGAATTCGATATCGCCTTTTAAAATAATTCTTAGATTTAGTATATTGATTCCTCCTGAGAAAGCTGTAATCCGTAAGATTTTCGTCTGCTATGTTTACAATTTGTTTTTTTTATGTTTTGACTGCATGCGGTTGTACTTAAACAAAAAAATACAGTATATAAACAGAGAAAACTTGTCCGTCTTCACTGTTCATCTTGCGGAGACATTTACAGCTATTTACCGTTTTCATAAAATAAACTCTAGCAGACCTAATAATATTATGGCTTTTGAAATCAGGTATTACAATGCTAATTCATAACAAAGACGATATCAAATTCGTCACTGAATTCCCATGTTTATTGGGACACCCTGTATTTTATGTTGTTACAAAACAAATAGTTAATTACTAGACAATTATTTAACCAATAATTTAGTGAAATGGGTCTGTTTAAACTGCACTGCACTGCAGTATCCAATGCTCATTGGACTATTCAAAGTCATGATTTAAGTATAAAAGTCGTCTTTCTATTTTAGAGTTTTCAGTATTTTTTGGAAATTTATTAGGTAACTGCCAACATTTATTTACTTTAACTTTTTTACAATATATTACACATTTTACGGAAATACAAGGATACATAATAAAACACTTTTGTTGTTTCCTTTGTAGGCCTTCCTTTAGGAAGTTTGATTAAGTTTAAGAATTGAATGAATTTCAGAAAACCATAAAAAACTAATTTTGACTTTTTTGGTACCAATTATAATTTGATTTACTCTGCAAACTATTTTGCCTTCGAAAGAAGATTTACAAATACAATTCACTAGAGCGCAAGGTGCCTTTTGGAAGCGTAAACTAAAAATTGCACAAATGCCGCGTTTTAATCATGCAGAATAAAATGCATGGGATCCAAAAACCCTTTTTAACAAATATATATATCAGTGGCAGGAGTAGCATATTTAGGATTATGGGTCAAAGAACAAAAACAATGTGTTACATGTTCATTGGAAAATTGAAAATTTAAACTTTAATCTGTATTAATCTTCTTTATATTCACGGTTTTATGAATCTTAATTTAGAGTGCACAGTAATTTATACTTTTATTAAAGCTGAGATGAGGGGTGGAAGGGAGGGAGGGGAAAGGAATGAAGGGGTAGGGGTGCAAGGGGGAGGTATAATTATATAAGTCCTGACTCCAATGTGGGAGTGTAACACCATTTTTTTGTAATTGGTTTCAAAACCTTCCGTCCAGGAACCCGCACCTTACTACAGATCTCCTAAATCAATAAATTTATCAGTCAATCTTTAACCAATCAATCAGTCAACTATATCAACCAATTAGTGAACCAAATAAATTAATCAGTCCACCAATCAATCAGTCAGTCCACCAATCAATCAGTCAGTCAACCAAATCATTCAGTTAGTCAACCAAATCAATCAGTCAGTCAACCAAATCAACCAATCAGTCAATATCAAATCAATCACTTAGTCAACCAAATCAATCAATCAAAAGCAATCACTCAACTAAAGATCAATAATAAAAAATGAGTGAAACGACAAATGAATATTGAAATAAAAATCCAACAGTAGCAATCATTTAATCATTTATTTAATCATTACCCGGCCTTAGATCAAAAATCGATCAGGAAATCCACCTCTATAATAAATCATTTAACAAAGCAATCAATTCTCAGGATCAAATAATCAATCAATTAATAAATCACCTTGGGAACATCAACACACTCTTCAACTGGGACCAGTTTTGGAACTAACTTTGACACTTTCTCACCTGAAAAATGTCGTCTTTTGCTAATTTGTTAGAATTCTATTTTGGAAATGATAGATTACAAAACTTAATCCTAATGCAGAATATTCTCAATCTGGGAGTTTAATTCATAAATTTTTAAATATTAAAAATATAGTAAAAATCAGAAAACTCTAGAATAGCAAAACAATTTTTAAACTCAAGTTTTGACTAAATGCATCGCAATTGTGCAGTTTAAACAGCAGTATTGATAAATGATTTAATAAGGGACTAGTAAAGCTATATGCTTTGCAACATTTAAGAATTCCTTTACTGTCGTCTGCCTAATCCACAGTGTTCTGCTTCTCATTGTAACATTTTGGAACATTTAAAGCATATTTAAAGTAATCGTTTATTTGATAATTTAGAATATTTCAGTGCTCTAATTATATTGTCAAATTTCGATTCAAACTTTGACTTCTATATATAAATTTGGCTTGTCTGTTTGTTTGTATCCAGTAAACGTCAAAACGGCTAAACCGATCGGGCCCAAATTTTTTGTGGGACATCACGTGACCACAGGGAAGGTTTATGAATGATAAAAATTAAAAAAAATGTGTTTTAAAGGTTTTTAATTTTGTAAAAAAAATTAAATTCTTGAAAATCCGCGATTTTTTTTTTAAATCCGCAAAAATTTTCTTCTTTGTTTTTGAATGTAAACAAAAAGAACATGTTCACAATTTAAATAGAAGATGGGCGCGAGGCGCCATAAAAGCCTAGTATTTTCAAATTCCAGCCTTGCAAAAATGTTGATAACTCTAAAAAATGGCTTGATTTAAGACACACATTTTTTTCTTGATGGTATTTGAGAACGAAAACTGGAAAAAATGCATATTCTAAGACGACATTAAAAATTTCCGCGGCTCAGCCCGCCCCAAGGAGTAAAATCAATGGTTTCCAGGGATTTTCAGGACCCAACAGATGCTGAGCCCCTGACTCAAATTTTTTTTAAACACCCCCTGGGTATATTCCTGAGTACGCCCCTGTTCATGGAATGGCTTTACAACAACATACATTGTTCAGTGTAGCCCCCTCACCTCCTCCCCCCTTTTCTAAGATCTCTTATTACTTACAATTAGTTCTGGGTTGAATATCGCAGGTTTCATTCGGTAAATCTGTAACTATCGTTTTTATCTGTTCATGGCAGACCTCAGGACCAGATACAAACCCACAACCAGGAGGACCACACAGCTCCTGGGGAACCTAAATATGGATAAAGTCAAGCATGGGGTGCCGTGCCAGACAGTTTACAATTAAAATACCTCTCCGACACACGACTGCATATTTATAGCATTGTGAATTAAAATTTCTTGCAACACGCAAAAACAAGATTTATGTCGAATGAAAAGTGCTTTTACCTTTTCACATTTGGTGGTAGGATTATTTTTTTTCTTAAGCTGTTTGTTGACAGTGCAAACTTCCCGGGGCCATTCCGTACACTTCTCTTTGGTAGAGTAACCAACCTTAGATGTAAAAACATTTGTGTGTACTTCTCCCTGATAGAGTACCCAACCCTATTTATATAAACATTGATGTACACTTCTCCCTGATAGAGTACCTAACACTAGATATATAAATATCGATGTACACTTCTCCCTGATAGAGTAGCCAACCCTAGATATATAAACATTGATGTACACTTCTCCCTGATAGAGTACCTAACCCTAGATATATAAATATCGATGTACACTTCTTCTTGATAGAGTACCCAACCCTAGATTTATAAACATTGATTCTCCCTGATAGAGTACCCAACCCTAGATATATAAATATCGATGTACACTTCTCCCTGATAGAGTACCCAACCCTAGATATATAAACATTGATGTACACTTCTCCTAGATAGAGTACCCAACCTTAGATATATAAACATTGATGTACACTTCTCCTTGATAGATTACCCAACCCTAGATATATAAACATTGATGTACACTTTTCCATGATAGAGTACCCAACCCTAGATATATAAACATTGGTGCATTAAAGAAAGTATTTAAGAAAGCCCCATGTCTGTGTTTACAGTGAGAAAATGAAAGCTGTGGAATAGGAAGACGACAATATAGCAATAATTGGTAAATTAGATGTTAGATTACTTTAAGTCATAACTTGATTATAAAGTCATTTTTATATTCCAGAAATTTCTGGTTCTTTCTGAATATATCTGGAAATGTTATTTTTACCAATTCCTCGTGACATTTTTGCTCTGTCACAGTCTCACACTCGGGAACATCATCAAGTACAGTGTACTCATCATCCTTACTCCAACATTCACTCACATACTCGGTCCTATATAAATACATCATCAAGTACAGTGTACTCATCATCCTTACTCCAACATTCACTCACATACTTGGTCCTATATATATACATCATCAAGTACAGTATACTCATCATCCTTACTACTCGGTCCTATATATATATATATATACATCATCAAGTACAGCGTACTCATCATCCTTACTCCAACACTCACTCACATACTCGGTCCTATATATAAATACATCATCAAGTACAGTATACTCATCATCCTTACTCCAATATTCACTAACATATCTCGGTCCTATATATAAATACATCATCAAGTACAGTGTACTCATCATCCTTACTCCAACATTCACTCACATACTCGGTCCTAAATATAAATACATCATCAGGTACAGTGTACTCATCATCCTTACTCCAACATACATTCACATACTCGGTCCTAAATATAAATACATCATCAAGTACAGTGTACTCATCATCCTTACTCCAACATTCACGAACATACTCCGTCCCATATATATATACATCATCAAGTACAGTGTACTCATCATTCTTACTCCAACATTCACTCACATAATCGGTCCAATATATAAATACACACATACATATACATTTATATATCATCCAGTACAGAGATAATAAGTCCTATCATCATGCATGAATTCAATAAGTAATAAATACCAACAAAAGACTAATTATAAATAAGAAAATGATTAATCACAACTTGAAACAAAAATGCAAAGCTTTTTGATCTAAGTCACTCTCCGCTAAAACATACTTTATCTTCGGTCAGTGTACTGCATTTTACTATTGTACATATTGCAATTTAGTGGAGTGTAATTTATTGCCCAGTATTCTGATTTTTAACCAGTATATATGAAAGTGAAAGAAAAAAGACAATTTCAAATAAAGTAAACTAAAAATAAATAAAAATAAATATGACAGAACAAAAAAAAAATAAAAAATGAAGAAAATATGAAATAAATTATAAACTATTAAATTAAAAAATTAAATAATGAAGAAAGATAAATTAAAACTAAAAAATCTAAAAAAATTAAAAAAATATTTAAAAACGAAAAAAATATGGATCTAAGTCTAACCTGCATTCCAATGGCCCTGACAGATTACAATCCTTTATTAAAGGATTAGAACAGACCTGCACAGTAATGTTCCGAGCACTGAATAAAGGGGATTATACTGAATAAAGGGGTTATACTGAATAAAGGGGATTATACTGAATAAAGGGGATTATACTGAATAAAGGGGATTATACTGAATAAAGGGGATTATACTGAATAAAGGGGATTATAAGTCTAATTTCAAGTGACCCTGCGTATGCAAAGCTGGCAATGTACGATTTAGAACGGTAGCCTTGAAACGTGAAAAGTGTTTAAATCTGATGATTTCTTACAGTTTTCCTGCAGTAGAAATGCGCAATTCACTTTAGTAGAGAATTCCCAATTGGAGAAATAAACAGTTTTCTAAATTATAAAATTGATTTAAATTTCTTTATCAGCATTTAGGTTCCGTTGTACATCGGACACTGAAATCTTTACATGTATAGGGTCACTTTAAACTACGCTTACAGTCCCTGTATGTTAAGGGACTAATTAACCTTATAGTCCCTGAATGTTAAGGGACTAATTACCCTTACAGTCCCTGTATGTTAAGGGACTAATTACCCTTACAGTCCCTGAATGTTAAGGGACTAATTACCCTTACAGTCCCTGAATGTTAAGGGACTAATTACCCTTACAGTCCCTGTATGTTAATGGATTAATAAAGCTTACAGTTCCTTTATGTTAATGGATTAATAAAGCTTACAGTTCCTGTATGTTAAGGGAATAAATAATAATTACCCTTACGGTCCCTGTATGCAACCTGATGGTGTAAACATTGAAATTCAGTGACGAATTGGATATCGTCTTTGTTATGAATTTGCATTGTAATACCTAATTTCAAAAGCCTTAATATTATTATGTCTGCTAGAGTTTATTTTATGAAAACGGTAAAAGACTATAGAGATGTGTCTATAATGTCTCCGCAAGATGAACAGTGAAGACGGACAAGTTTACTCTGTTTGTATGCTGAAATTTTCTGGTTTTACTAAGTATAACCGTATGCAGTCAAAACATAAACAAAATGTGAACATAGCAGACAAAACTCTTACAGATTACAGCTTTCTCAGTAGGTATCACTAGACTAAATCAAAGAATTATCTAAACAGACGATATCGAATTCGTCACTGAATTCCCATGTTTATTGGGACACCCTGTATTTCAAACTTAAGATTATTTGAAAAATCTAAGGCATACGCCAAAAATTTGAGGTAGTGATAAAGACTTAATTCCTTTTAAAGAAATTGATGCCCTTAAGTCCCTAAGTCCCTAAGTGTAGGTGTAGGTGCAGAATACCTTGGTGAATAGGTGATTTGACATTCTTTCTTGTAACTATCATCACAACTCTCCTCCTGAACAGTCAGTCATCAACCCATAGACCAAATATGAAATTGTGATCTCAGTTTTTGCAACAAACTTAAATTTTCTAATCACTATATCTCTGAAACATGGACATATTTCACTTAATAAGTTAATTTTCAAACCGCTGCATGTTATATTTAGTTGCTTCCTGCAACTATTTCATATAATATGGATTTTAAAGGGGATGAAAAGGGATTTAAAGGGTATCCAATTAAAAAATTCCAAGCTCTGTTAATTGAAATTTTTTAATTCATCCAATGAAAGATAAGAATTTTTAATTTAAAAAAATGGATTCAAAGATTTCACCTGCTGTGTACTGTACTCTGTACTGTACGATGTGTGACATTTCTTATCGTAACTGTGTTCACATTTCTCCTGGATAAAACGGAAATATTTCTTGGTCATTAAATGTCGTCTTTTCTATAAAAAGTTTCAAGTTTGAAGACAAATATTGGCTCTTTACTTTATTACTCTGTGTTCACGTATTTCCTTTCAAGAATTGGAATTATCTTTTGAACCGAGAACCCTTGGTCATTTTTCTAATTTTAATAAAGATGGGGAAATTATCATCATAGAGAATAGAATATATATTAGAGGGGAATTTAAAGAATCTCTCGGTATGAATTTGTTCAGTCCCTTTCAGCCTGAAAGGGAGTTCAAAGTGTACAAATCATGTAAATGTTCACAAATTATATGCAGTATGTTCACTAGACTATTCAATTCAATTTCGAATTTTTTAAACTGTTAAATAAACTTTATAATGAATTAGGTGAATAAAAATTACATTATTTGATTAATAGTTATAACGGAAAATCATCGTTTGTAAAGTGGAAGGCATAGAGTCTATGTGAAATGATCATTGGTCAATTATGAAACCATCCTATTTCATAATTTGGTTAGAGGAAGGAAGGAGGGAGGGAGGGGGTTACATTAAACAGATTTGAACATTATTTAGTTTATGGAGTAATTTTACAGCAGATCTAAATTAGTTTAAAATGTCAGGTTAATACAATGAAAGGTCTATCTTCAGGTCAGGGGTACACAATGAAAGGTCACCTCTGCCCTTCTTTTAAATTAGAGTCTTTGTTTGATAAACATATATCATTCAGCTAGATCTAGAGCAACACTTTTCAGAAAAAAAAATGGAAAAAATAAGAATTTTTTTTTATTGACCAACTTTTGTTAAGGTTTTTAAAAACAAATAATAATCACAGTATAAAATTGAGTAATTACTTGTAAAAATGCAAATTGAAGACCTGCGCAACCTTTTGTTGTCACAAAAAATTCCTCAAATAACTGAACATTCATAAAACTTTTTAGTTTTAAGAATGAAATAATATTTAAAAAATACATTTACTGCAAAACATATTTTTTTAAATTTAAAATTAGTTTTTAAATTCAATATATTCACTATAGTTGACACACATCGTTATATTGGCATGAATTAAAAAGAAATCAAATATTGCTCTGTATGTTTTTCTTATTTTTCGCAAATATCTACCCTTCCTCCCTCTCTCTGACATAAAACATAAATTTGAAGGTGTAATTTGGCGCACCCTATACAATTTACTCATTTGCCACACCCACTCTAGTTTATGATAATTATAGAGTTTTAACCCCGTTATACTTATCAACCTGGTGTTAAACTTTATTCTGTCTGGTCAACCTGGTGTTAAACTTTATTCTGTCTGGTCACCCTGGTGTTAAACTTTATTCTGTCTGGTCACCCTGGTGTTAAACTTTATTCTGTCTGGTCACCCTGGTGTTAAACTTTATTCTCTCTGGTCACCCTGGTGTTGAACTTTATTCTGTCTGGTCACCTTAGTGTTAAACTTTTCTTCTTCTTATTTTAACGCAACTTTATTCTGTCTGGTCACCTTAGTGTTAAACTTTTCTTCTTCTTATTTTAACGCGATTTGTCTAACCATTATATCAATTTAGTCTTTGCCACAAACTAAAACTTTTTAATTCCTATATCCTATATCATAACTTTTGTTGTAAAGCCACGATTCCTTTTTTTAACATGGTGAGGAAATATAAATAACTTTAACTTGTTTGCTCCGAGTTAAAAGTCAGTTCTGTAAAAGAAGTAATTATTCCCCTCAAATTCAAATTTTCTAATCTCTTTATCTTTCCAGCTTTTGATATTAAAAACTGTAACTTAGTTCTAGTAGAATTCACAATTTAAAAAATGAAAGATTTAGAAAGCTAAGTTTTAAAGCGTGATAAAAAATCTTAGTTCGAAGGAAATCTTAAACAGTTTTCAAACTTAACACCTTTAATGTGTCTACAATATCGAGACGTTTGGAAACCGCTGTTTCCAAACTTAGTACCTTCAATATGTCTGATATATACAGACGGTTTTCCAAACTTAATACCTGCAATATGTCTGATATATACAGACGCTTTCCAAACTTAATACCTGCAATGCGTCTGCATATGGTCTATGGAGACGTTTTCCAAACTTAATACCTGCAATATGTCTGTAATATGGAGACGGTTTCCAAACTTAATACCTTCAATGTGTCCGCAATAGGGAGACGGTTTCCAAACTTAATACCTGCAATGTGTCCGCAATATGGAGACGCTTTCCAAAGTTTTGGAACTGAACAGAATTTGTTCCTAAACAAGTTAAAAAAAAGATTAGTCACAGTTTTTAAATGAAGTGCAGAATAATGAAGAAAGGAGTTTGTTTCTAAAAGTGGTCTAACAAATTGCAAAGTTTGGAATGTGTGTAATGATTACAATTGATTTAATTAAATTTATTCGAAAGTTTCCATTTTAAAGATTAAAAATTGTATTTGAAAATATATTTGTAATATGATGATGTAAGGTTTTGATAATTCAAATTTTTCTAGGTTTTAGACACCAGGTAGCAAAGTTATAAGCATTAAAAAATTAAGCAAATATAGTCATATTAATGAATATGTAATAACCATTAAAGGGCTAGCATTTTTTTTGTTTAGTATTATTTTTTTATAAATAATTTTATTCCATTTTTATTTNCCTTAAAGAAAAAGAAAAAAAGTGATGTAAATTTTTGCAATATATTTAAATGTTTTTCTTCAAGGTTAACCCTTCACAATCTGAAAAAAAGCCTTTTACCTGGGGTCGGGGCAGGGTGGGCCGTTCCTGTAGGTTCTTGATGTCCATTTAAGAATATAGACTGCGGAATAACATTGCCTTCGAGATCTATGTGTAACGGTGAAAGTCTCCTATTTTCCGAAGACAACGCATGTCCAAATTTATGGCCAAAATCTTGGTTTGCAGACTGGGCTTGGTGCGATTTTTGAGAAGCTTGTTCGATATTTTGGCCAAAAGATTGTCCAAATCCTTGTGTTGCAGTTTGTTCAAATCTGTTAAAAGCAGCTGGGCCACGAGAACCATGAAGAGTAGCAGCTTGGTCAGATGCTCTTACAGTAGCTTGGCCAATTCCTTGGTTAAAAGCTAGGCCAAAACCTTGGTTTCCCGCATTATTCCCGAAACTCCCAAATCCGCCAAAATGTGATCCAACAGTTCCAGAATTGAATTGTGAGCTTATATCTTTGTTCTCCTACAATAAGTTAAATTAAATGTCAAAATGTTTAAAACCACTATTTAAGGTTAATCTATATACTGTGAGTTGCAGGAACAGTAATTTAAGTTCAAGTTTTATTGGTTTCTTCTACTATTGTCACCTCTACTAACCATCAGGCACACAACTAGCTAGAAGGGGGCAAAGGGCAATTATTTCGCGCGTAGCGCGAACATTATCCCCCCCCTCCTAAATTTTTCTAGGGGGGGGGGAAGAAAAAAGCGTTTTATCTTCAACCAATTCTGAATATTTTTGGAGAACATTTTTATATTTTGGGGCTTTCCTTCAGTTTGGGGAAAATTTGTGTGGGAAAAATAATAAACTTTATAACAGGGGAAAATTTTTTTTAGTTTGGAAAATATATAAAGGGGCATTTTTTTAAACTAAGGCTTATTTTTTTGTTGGGGGCAAAACTTCTTAATTTTTTTAGCATTATCAATTAACAAAATAAGGGGCATTTTTTAGTTGGTTTAGTAGTTAAATTTTAAAGTTGGTTGTATTTATAAAACATTTGGGGATAAACAATTCCATGCCCCCCCTTAATTAGGCTGAGGGGTGGGGGAACCTGGCCCCCTACCCCCCCTATTTTTTTCAAAATTTTTTTTCCCACGGACAACGCTGATCCTTTCAGCTAGTTTTTAATAAATTCAGAAAATAGAACTTAATTAGGCTGAGGGGTGGGGGAACCTGGCCCCCTACCCCCCCTATTTTTTTCAAAAATTTTTTTCCCACGGACAACGCTGATCCTTTCAGCTAGTTTTTAATAAATTCAGAAAATAGAATTGCATGAAAATGGCAAAATTAAAATATCGTATTCCAGATTTTAATTTATAATGGGATTGTCAACTAAAATTCAAGAGACTTCCCATTTTTAAAAATGGGAACGATCCCTTGATTCACCGCTATTTGGATCTTTATTTGAGCACTAAAGTGAAAGATATCGTCGTTTATCTAGCTTTCGTAATGTTGAATTTTGTTGACACTTTTTTCTGCAGCACAGAAATCCACAAAGATAAACAACAATAGAAAAATGTCAATTTCAGGAAGAAACAATTTTGTATCAAGTAAGGTTTACTGAATACCGGTGTGAACCGGACATGCCACTAGATCTTTACATGTAGGTTTGATACAAATTAAACAGGTGGATTTTAGTCATTTTAAATTTAAACTCGAAAAAACTTTTTCTTTAAAATTTTTAAAACTAAATATTTTTATTTTCCATATAGTTTTACAGGCTAATATTGGATTACATATTATAAACTGCATATATCACAACGTAATGGTAATCAACGGAAATTACATTTATGTATTTAATGTGTGTTACTAAATTGTAAACACGGGATTTTGTCCCATAGTTTGGACATATTGTACAGCAATGACGACATTTTTCAATCAACTGGTGAGGTGAGATCAGATTTTAGCATATTTGTAATGCATATGAATAACGCCATTCGTCAAAAAACTCAAAAAATCAAACTTCAATATATTCATCATGCATACAATTATAAGTTAAACACCCATCAGGACAAATTTGTCGTGGCGATAAATGTCGAGAATGCTTAAAAAATGTCGAAAAGGGTTTAAAAATCTAAATGCTTACTTTCAGTTGGACAGAGTTGGTAAACTGCACATAAGGTCTCTGAGCCCCACCATTAAACTAAAAATTTGAAAAAAATAAATTTTATTTAAAAAAATTATTTTATTTATTTAATACTTAGCATCTTTTTTAAATAAAAGAACATTAACACGACCAGTTATCGTCAGGGAGCATGGAATAGAAGGGAGACGCGGCCCGCCCTACCATATGATTATATATGCTTTGTAGACGGGTACTCCATTTGTTTAAGAAATATTCAGAATAGGTTATTGTATACGCGGTAATTGAAAATCAGGCAAATATTTGTAATTTTAAGCCACACTAAAAAATTAATATGTCTCAGAACTTTCCAATTTGTAAGAATGCTGAAAATATAAAGAACTGACCTGGGCAATATTTAATAGATCTTGAAAATCCGCCAACTGCATTGGGTCAGCTTCACCATGTACACCTACCAGTCCGTTGTACAGGTAAAAAACCTGTACATAAATGCATTAGGAATATCTATCTATCTATCTATCTTTCTATCTATCTATCTATCTATCTATCTATCTATCTATCTATCTATCTATCTATCTATCTATCTATCTATCTATCTATCTATCTATCTATCTATCTATCTATCTATCTATCTATCTATCTATCTATCTATCTATCTATCTATCTATCTATCTATCTATCTATCTATCTATCTATCTATCTATCTATCTATCTATCTATCTATCTATCTATCTATCTATCTATCTATCTATCTATCTATCTATCTATCTATCTATCTATCTATCTATCTATCTATCTATCTATCTATCTATCTATCTATCTATCTATCTNCCCCCCCCCAGCAGGAATAGGGTTAAAAAAAACTAAATCACGTTCTACTAATCTACATCTAAGCATCACACGCTTATAAACAGCTATATTTAAATAAAAAGAAAAAATGAAATGTTTTGTTGAACCAAATAAATCTTCAGAACAAATGTTACGCGCATTACGCTCTTGTCCGCACAGTATCGGGATCTTTATTAGACTGAAGATGCGCTCTGCACAGAGTTCATGTGACCTTCAAGAGATTTAACCTTTTCAAAAACTGTCTTTAATCATGCAATACTCTCATCTTTCATCCTTCTATACTCATCCTTCATCCCTCTACTCATCCTTCATCCCTCTACTCATCCTTCATCCCTCTGCTCATCTTTGATTCCTTTACTCATCCTTCATTCCTCTACTCATTCTTCATCCCACTATTCATCCTTCATCCCTCTACTCATCCTTCATCCCTCTACTCATTCTTCATCCCTCTACTCATTCCTCATTCCTCTACTCATCCTTCATCCCACTACTCATCCTTCATCCCTCTACTCATCTTTCATTCCTCTACTCATCCTTTATCCCTCTACTCATCCTTCATCCCTCTACTCATTCTTCATCCCTCTACTCATCCTTCATCCCTCTACTCATTCTTCATCCCTCTACTCATTCCTCATCCCACTATTCATCCTTCATCCCTCTACTCATTCCTCATACCATGTACCATAAATCCTTCCATGTACCATAAACCATACCTTACCATACCATGTACCATAAACCCTACCGTGTACCATAAACCATACCTTACCATACCATGTACCATAAACCCTACATACCTATGTTTAAAGTTTAAGTTCTACTTAAAAAAATGTATAAATTGAAATGTAAAGCTTATTCGAGTCAATCCTCAGGTTTGGCCATAAAGGGAGTTATAGTATATATATGGGTAAAATTTTAGATGGGAGACATTAGATGATAAGACAGATATAGTTTTTGATAGAATAGATATATAAGTGAATATATAGGTAGTTAGATAGTTAGATCTTTAGACAGACAGACAGATAGACAGACAGAGAGTCAGGCAGATAGATAGACAGACATAAAGCTGTTCTGGTTATTGCTTTATATAGTTATATATATACATACATTTTCTTAAAATTAGTTTAGTACATTTTCTATTGTTTATTTAATATAGTTACCCGAGCACTGCAATCTTTATCTAAATCATCCAAACAATTGATCAACATATAGTTTTATTAACAAATCAGTCAAATAAGTTAAGAAATAATGAAATATTTTAAAAATGATTGTATCATCAAATCTATATTGATTAATTGATTATCAACCAATCAATCAATTCATGAAGATTATTGTTCAATCAATAAAACAAATTATATTAACTAAATCAGTTAAAATTTTTGATTAATTTACTGGCAAAATGTTTGAAAACAGATGATTACAATTTTGAAATTCAATCAATTGAAATTGATTGCGTATTTTATAAGACGTAATTTCAAAGTGACCCTCTGGCTTTCAGAAGAACACATTGATTTCTCCTTTTTCTCGCGGACATTTCGCTTCATTTTCGCATTTTGTTCGCTCGCGAAAAATGCGAAAATTTTCGCTTTTTTCACTTCAATCTGTTTAGCAAAAAAATGCGAAAATTTCGCGAAAAAATTAGAAATTATGAAAAAAACGAAAATTTCGCGAAAAATACAGAATGTATAAAAACAAATGCAACAGAAATTCATCCGCGAGCCCAATTGATGAATTGACACAAAATATAAATATAGATTTAAGAACGACTTTGAGACATCATTACATTTCAACGTTTCGCAATTTAGCATTTTTTCGCGAAACGTTGTGCATCGAACTTTCCACTCATTGAAGAGAGATTGACTGTAAATTGTGTATATATAGCCTTTTATTACCCTTTAATGCAAATTACATAAATTACGGATTTGTAACAATGTTTGACAATGTCTGTGATCCCATAGACACAGAATTAACCCTATCTCTGCTGGGGTACAATTAAAAACCAGGATATGCTGGGGGGGGGGCAATTTGACCCCCCCCCCCCTAAATCCCATGTTTGATGTCCAAATATGACAAATGATACATCATTGGAAAGCCCTTTTGTTCTCTAATTTAAGAATCTGCGAATGCAAATTTGCAAAAATTGAATTTTTATCGCAAAATCAAGTTATATAGTAAAAATGTTTGCAAAAAAAATTTGTCCAAAAAATGAAAAATTATACATTTTTGAAAAGCCCTTGACCATGCCATTTCAAATATGCAAAAGTTTTTGCAAAATTTTAAATAACCTGATTTATTTTTAATCAAGAAAAACTTAAAAATGTGCAAATTTCCTTTGACAGGTTGTTTGCAAAAAATTTGCAATTTTTTCGCAAAACTTGTGCAATTCGTTTCCTCATACCAAAGGCTTTCCGAAAAGCTAAATTTTATCAAAATCTGACAAGTGGAAGTGGGTCAAAACAAAGATTTAGTTTGTTACAGGAAAAAGCAGTCATTCAGGCAGTGTGCCTGAGGACTCAGGCAGTTAGTATTAAAGCCCGGTTTTAGGCCTAAAGGGA